GGGGCTGCGGTGGCCGGGAGCGGCCACCGCACTCCAGTCTGGGTGACAGAGTGAGACTCGAACTCAAAAAAAAAAAAGAGAAGAAGAAAACGCAGAGGCCAGCAGAGTTGGAGCAGAGTGAGCGAGGTGGGGAAGGTGGGGAAGGTAGAAGACAAAGCAGGTCACTCACGGGGTCTCGGTCACGTAGGTCCCCATGGGCCACGGCAAGAACTTTGGCTTTTACCCTGGACGAGATGGAAACCCCTGGGGTGTCCAAGCTGAGCGGCCACAGGAAGCAAGTTGGACTCAACAGGATCCCAAGTTCTGCTGTGTAGAGGACAGGCTGATGGGGCAAGGGTGGTAACAGGCTTCTGAGACAGCCCAGGTGGGATCAGCGACTTGGACCAGGGTGGGGACAGTGGAGGCAGCAGAAGTGGCTGACTTTTGGAGATGGCTGGAAGACAGAGCCACAGGACTTGCTGACGGATGGGAGCGTTTCATGCGGTTCTGCACAGCTTCCACAGGAGAAGTTGGTGCCCAGTAAGGTGGTTCTCATTGCTGGTGCTTGCTGGAAGCAAATGCTGTTGCCGTTTTCTCCCCTGAGGATAAACTGAGGCAAGGCTTCAGCCTAAGTGGAGCTCGGCAGCCATGTCTAGAGACCCCATCTGGCCATGGACCCTCTAGGCTGCCACCTCCTGGTCCCAGAGCCAAGTCCAGTAGAGGGCATCATAGCCGCACAGAAGGCCTCACTGTCCGGGAACCTCAGCCAGGTCAGGCAGCGCCAGTCAGAAAGGAGCTGGCCAGACCTGCCCAGGGTTCATTCACTGACCTTTACTGAGCACCTACTGTGTGCCCAGTCCCAAGCCCAGTTCTGCCTGTGGAAAGAACTGCAGGCCAGGCACAGTGGCTCACGCCTGTCATTCCAGCACTTTGGGAGGCCAAGGCAGGAGGATTGCTTGAGCCCAGGAGTTTGAGACCAGCCTAGGCAACATAGTGAGACCTCATCTCTAAAAACTAAAAATAAAAAAGGAAGAGCTGCAATGAAAACAGGTCCTGGGCCGAATAGGAGCCTAGCCTGGTGACCATTCCATTTGTGCCCACTATCTCCATAAGATGAGAGTGGGAGGCCGAGCTCAGTGGCTCATACCTATAATCCCAGCACTTTGGGAAGCCGAGGCAAGAGGATTGCCTGAGCCCACGGGTTTGAGACCAGCCTGGGCAACTTGGTGAGACCTCATCTCTACAATAAATCAAAAATTAGCTGGGCGTGGTGGCATGTGCCTGTAGTTCCAGCTACTTGGAAGGCTGAGGCAGAAGGATCACCTGAGCCCAGTAGGTCGACGCTGGGTGGCCGTGAGTGTGCCACTGTACTCCAACCTGCATGACAGAGTGAGCTCTAACTCAAAAAAAAAAAAAAAATGATGAGAGTGGGCATTTGGGTTATAGGGGAGGATGGCTAAGTCTGTTTGAGCTGCTATCCCAAAATGCCACATACTATGTCTGGCAAGGGCTGCTTTCTGCTTCCAAGGGGGCACCTGACTGCTGCATCCTCCAGAGGGAAAGACCCTTGTGTCCTCACATGGCAAAAAGTAGAAAGGCAAGAGAGAGCAAATCCACTCTCTCAAGTCTTTTATAAAAGCCCTAATCCCATCTGTGATAGCTCCACCCTCAAGACTTAGCTGCTTTTAAAGTCCCCACCTGTTAACAGTTTCACATTGGTGATTGTATTTCCACATGTGAATTTTGGGCACATTCAAACCACAGCAGCAGGGTCAAAGAAACAGCCCCCAGATTGGAAGCCACTTTGGGTTTAAGTCCCAGCCCTTCCTCTTACTTGCCGTATGACATTGAGCAAATTGCTCAGCCTCTCTGAGTCTTCCATTCTACTCCAGGATTGTTGTGAAGGTGCAGTTAGACAAGTAGGTAAGAAGTCACCTGGAGAGCTGTAAAGTACCTCACCAGGAGGGATGGGGTAGCAGTTCTTGCTTGGAACCAGAAGAGCAAATCTTTCTTTTTCTTTTTGAGTTGGAGTCTCACTCTGTCACCCAGACTGGAGTGTAGTGGTATGCTCATGGCTACTACGACCCAATGGGCTCAGGTGATCCTTCCGCCTCAGCCTTCCAAGTAGTTGGAACTACAGGCGCACACCACCATGCTGGCTAATTTTTTGATTAATTGTAGAAACTAGTTCACGCCAAGTTGCCCAGGCTGGTCTCGTACCCCTGGATTCAGGCAATTCTCTTGTCTCGGCTTCCCAAAGTGCTGGGATTACAGGTGTGAGCCATCGTGCCCGGCAACATCTTTCAAGGTTCTTGAACTTGGACTCTGACCCCAACGAGAAGAATGAAATCAGCTTTGGTTTGGCATCAGTCAGCTACTGACTGCCGTGTGGCCTGGCAAATCGTCTCATCTCAACTTTACTTTCCTCATCTGTAAAATGGGGATGATCTCAGGGCCTACTTCAAAGGGAAGGAAGCATCCCTTGGGAGCCCTCAGGCTCTGCCTGCTCCATGCCCTGTGGCCATTATCTGTTAACAGCGACCCAGTCTGTGTAGACTTAACACCCAGTGTTTCCCATGTTCCTGTTCTCGGGAGGGGGCCGTAAGCAGTGTGGAAAAACCCCCCTGTGGGGCGAGCCAAGCAGCTGGTGTGTGGGGAGGGGCATGTGCTCCCCCAGCTGCAGATACCCCTGAGCCACCCTGCCTCCCCCAGGAGAGACGTTCCTGCCCTACTACACGGGCCGGGCCATCGATGGCATCGTCATCCAGAAGAGCATGGACCAGTTCAGCACAGCCGTCATCATTGTGTGCCTGCTGGCCATCGGCAGGTAGCTGGCCCAACCCTACGCCCCATCCTGCACCCCCGGGCCTGCGCTGGGAGGAAGGAAAAGTCCTGTTCCTATAGAAGACGGGGGCCAGGGAGGCCCCAGAAATGCCTCTAATGAACCTGTTACTCAGCCGGTCTCCCTGAGAACCAGCTCCCAGACTGGCTCAGGACCCGTGTCACTTTGATTAGGCCACACCCTCTTGTCCCTAAAAAAAGATCCAATCCCGGGGTTCCCCCCTCGCCCTTTCTGGTCATTTCCCAAGCAGGATCGGGGCTTGACACAGGACCAGCTTTGTCCGTGCTGTTCTGGAAGGGAGAAGGGTCTGGCTGGCAGGTCTGGGCCCCTCTCACTGCTACTATCCCCTTGCCCTCACCCTGGGGACTGCAGCTGAGGAAGGAGGGCCCCCCCCGAAGTGGCGCTAGCCCCAGAGAGGGGCTGTGGCCAGGCTCCCATGCCTGCTGCCAGGGGAGGGAGCAGTCGGGTGTGGCTGCTGTTGCCGGAAGGCCATCGTGCTATAACATCTCTTATCTGCAATTAGCTCATTTGCCGCAGGTATTCGGGGCGGCATTTTTACCCTCATATTTGCCAGACTGAACATTCGCCTCCGAAACTGTCTCTTCCGCTCACTGGTGTCCCAGGAGACGAGCTTCTTTGATGAGAATCGCACAGGTTGGTTCCCCCCTACCCCGTGCCTGGGGTGTTCTGAGGGCTCAGCCCAGCCAGGGGAGCGGGGAGGAGGAGTGAAGTGATGGTTCCTGCTGTCAGTCGGGATGGAAACACCCCAGAGGTGGGCTGTGGCCTCTGTGGGACCCTGGCCAGGCCACCCGCGGTTCCTGCAGGAGCCAAGGCCTTGCTCCCACCACCCTGTAGAAGCCGCAAGGGCCAGGACTACCCCAGTTGTGGCCAGCATGGCCCAGCTCTCGCAGGCATGAGCAGAACAGGAGAGGCAATGTAGGGCCTGGCCAAGATCCTGAGTTCTGAGACAGACCAGCCTGGGCCGAAAGCCCCGGTTCCACCACTCAATAACTTAACCTTTCTGAGCCTCTGTTTTCTTGTTTGTGAAATGGGAACACTAAGAGTAGCCACCCCGGGGGGTGGTCATGAAGCTCTTAGCCCCGTGTTCAACTTAGGTAAGAGGTGTCTGCTAGTCCGGGTGCAGGGCTCAAGTCTATAATCCCAGCACTTTGGAAGGCTGAGGCAAGAGGATTGCCTGAGTTCAGGGGTTCAAGACCAGTCTGGGCAACTTGGTGAGACTTTGTCTCGATAATAAATCAAAATATTAGCCAGACATGGTGGCATGCACTTGTAGTTCCAGCTCCTTGGAAGGCTGAGGTGGAAGGATCGCTTGAGCCGAGCAGGTTGAGGCTGCCATGACCATGAGCGTGCCACTGCACTCCAGCCTGGGTAACAGAGTGAGACTCCAACTCAAACAAACAAAAAAAAGAGGTGTCTGCTCTTTCTCCTCCAGATTATTTCTGTAGAAGGGAAGAGGTGTTGCCCCCCGTCAGTGACAAGGAGTAGACCTGGGTTGGAAGTCGGACTCAACTATGGACAAGCCATGTGGCACTGAACGAGTCCCTCCCACCCTGAGCCCCCTCCGCCTCTGCTGTGCAGTGGGATGTCATGAAACCTAAACAAAGTGCCCTCTCCCCGCCACCTCTCAGAAGGTGGGGAAGGCCCACTCTCCCATGTCTGTCTCAGAGGCCCCATAATGTCCCCTGCTGCCACCCCAGTGGCCTTGGCTGCCACAGCAGGCGCTGAGCCACCTGTGTTCCAGGCGACCTCATCTCCCGCCTCACCTCGGACACCACCATGGTCAGCGACCTGGTCTCCCAGAACATCAATATCTTCCTGCGGAACACAGTCAAGGTCACGGGCGTGGTGGTCTTCATGTTCAGCCTCTCATGGCAGCTCTCCTTGGTCACCTTCATGGGCTTCCCCATCATCATGATGGTGTCCAACATCTACGGCAAGTACTACAAGGTAGGCCCGCTTGCTCCCTCCTTGTCTTGAGGCTGTGTTTACATTATTCATGCATCCAATGAATATCTATTGAGCACCTCCTATATCCCAGATACTGGCATACATCAGTGAAACAGACAAGGTCCCTGCCCTCCTGGAGCTTGTATTCTAGTAGAAGAGACAGACAATAGGTAACAACAACAACAACAATAATAACTAAAATAACAGTACAGTAAAAGATAAAAGATGTTACGTGCTAAGGAGAAACAGAAAGTGAGGAAGAGAGAGATACTGGGAGCACTGAGGGGTGGTGGCAATTTTAAATAGGTCTTGTGCTGGGTGCGGTGACTCAAGGCTGTAATCCCAGCACTTTGGGAGACCAAGGCAAGAGGATTGTCTGAGCTCAGGGGTTCAAGACCAGCCTGGACAACATGGTGAGACCTCGTCTCTACAATAAATCAAAAAATAAGCTGGACATGGTAGTGCCAGCTACCAACTTCCAGCTTCTTGTTCCAGCTACTGGGAAGGCTGAGGCGGAAGGATCACCTGAGCCCAGCAGGTCGAGGCTGCGGTGGCCGTCAATGTACCACTGCACTCCAGCCTGGGCGACAGAGTGAGACTCTGACTCAAAAAAATAAAATTAAAAAATAGGTCTTGTTGGCCAGGCACAGTGGCTCACACCTCTAATCCTAGCACTTTGGGAGGCCAAGGCAGGAAGATCACTTGAGCCCAAGAATTCGAGATCAGCCCAAGCAACATAGCAAGATGTCATCTCTAAAAAAATATTTAAAAAATTAGCCAGGTATGGTGACACACACTTGTAGTTCCAGCTATCCAGGAGGCTAAGGCAGGAGGATCACTTGAACCTAGGAAGTCAAGGCTGCAGTGAGCTATAATTGTACCACTAGACTCCTGCTTTGGGTGATGAAGTGAGATCACATCTCTTAAAAAAATAAAAATAAAAATCCAATAGGTCTTGCTGAGAAGGAGACATCTGAGTAAGGATCTGAACGAGGTGGACACCTCAGGGCAGTGAGTTGCAAGGGTACGGCCATGTGGAAGCCCTGAGGTGGGACCATGCCCTGTGTGTTTGAGCAACCTCACAGTGACTAGTGAGGCTGGAGAGATGAGTGGGGGGAGGGGCTGGGAGGTGAGGGAGGGAAGGTGAGAGCCAGTTGGTGTAAGCCCTGCCCACAGGGTCACTCTCTTCCCACAGATTGTACACAGGATAGCTGGGGCCCACCACGATGCACCTATGGGGGTGCTGCAGTTCCCTCCAGCTGCCCCTGGCACTGCCTCTGCCAGGGAGGAAGGCCCATGAGCTAGGCCCAGTTCCACCCTTCTCCTGCCTCCCGGCTTTCTGGGTGCCTCCGACCCCCAAGGAACCAGGCTGAGTTCAGATAGGCAGGCCTATGACCCCGTAACAGGTGCAGGCAAGCCCTTCCCCAGTGACCCAGGCCCATGGGGGTACTCCTGAGTGGGGGGCTTTGATACGGGGTAGATCACTGTTGCCAGCAACTTTGAAGCTGAGCCCTGGGTGGCAGAGGGAGCCGTCTCCTGCCCAGCCCCCACATGAATCCCTTCCCTGACCCTCTCCGGCCACATGGGCACCTCTTCCCCCATGGTTCCAGGTCATAGTCTTGCCACTTTCCTCACTGAGTAGAAAGAATAAATATGAGCCGGGCTCGGTGGCTCAGCCTGTAATCCCAGTGCTTTGGGAGGCTGAGGTGAGTGGATTGCCTGAGCCAGCGGGTACGAGACCCACCTGGGCAACTTGGCAAGACCTCATCTCTACAATAAATCAAAAAATTAGTCGGGCGTGTTAGTGCGCACCTGTACTTCCGGCTACTTGGAGGGCTGAGGCAGAAGGATCGCCGCAACCCAGCAGGTTGAGGCTGCGGTGGCCAGGAGAGGCCAGTGCACTCCAGTCTGGGCGACAGAGTGAGACTCCAACTCAAAAAAAAAAAGGAAGAAATAGGTAAGGTAGAGGTGGAACTATGTCCTTTGCTCTGCTCCCTACCCCTCCCTTCCTTCCCAGCAGCTCCTAGGAAGCCTAGAGTTCCCGCTTCACCCCCCACCAGTACGCCTCAGTCCCGCCTTTAAGTTCAACTGGGCAGGGCCCCTGGGCAGCTCTTTGTGGATTTTCCACTGCACACCTGGAGTATAGTCAGCAAGTCAACAAACCACGTGCCAGCCACAGCTAGACATGATTCAGTGCTGGGTGTGGCTCCTCCCAGGGGTGTCCTCCTGTGGCTGGGGCGTGACACACAGGTCATAGGATGTGCCAGTGCATGATCCCATCCTCACTTCTGGCACCGCCTTCCTGGTTTGAGAATCAGAACACAGTCTGAACAGTGCTGCCCTGTCCAGAACTCGTCAGCCATCTACTCCTGGTTATATGTGTTTGGTGTGAGCAGATTTCACAGTTCATGGCCTCCACTACCATCTAGAATTTGACTGGGAGTCTCTGTGCCAACCCTCAGGCTCTCACATCATTTATGCTGATGATGTAAATGGTGCTTCCTTAACAGCTGATATTTATTTTCTAGTGCACAACTTAAACAACCATCCAGGGTATTCCTGCTCTTTGCCAGAGCAGGATCAGGTGTTGTGGTAATCCTCTCAGACTTTGCGAGAGGATTACCAAAAACTGAGTAGTCATGAATAGTCTCCTTTGAGTACTGGAGATGACTTCACGACCAGCCACCAGCCCCCCCCCCATCCCTTGGGGACTGGAACCACCCCCAGCAGCTCCACTGGAGTCTTTTGACTAAAAAAAAAAAAAAAAGTCTTTCAAGCCAGAAGGAGCTGGGGAGAAAGTGGAACTGGGTCTTACCCTTTTGTCCCGTGAACTTCCTAGATTAGGCCTGGCTCCCACGAAGGATGGAAAAGCCCAGGGAGACCTGGGGGTCCAGGTGGATAGTGAGGCTGTCTGTGTTGGGGTCTCCTCCTCCTTGCCCCTGCTTCTGCCCATAGAGGCTCTCCAAAGAGGTGCAGAATGCCCTGGCCAGAGCCAGCAACACGGCCGAGGAGACCATCAGCGCCATGAAGACTGTCCGGAGCTTTGCCAATGAGGAGGAAGAGGCCGAGGTATACCTGCGGAAGCTGCAGCAGGTGTACCAGCTGAACA